GTCCTCCAAGTCCATCCTCGCAGGACAAGCGTGTTCCCAACTCACACCCCCCTGCCTTCGTTTTATACAGTTCAAGTTCAATTATCTGGATTTCCACCCGTGTCTCTGATTGAACCGTCCCTTGGGCAGTGGAGCAGGGAAACTGAGGCATGACCTGTGCCCGTTGCCCTATCCCTTGGCCCCCTTTTGGGCAGTGGTGCTCGACCTCTGGCCTGCAGGCCACGTCCAGCCCACAGCACCGTTTGCCCACCCCACGGGATAGAAATCGGGTCCCCCACGCCCTGCTACCGTATCTCCCAGCCCCATGTCTCCGCGTGCTGCATGCAGCCGGTCAGGACCAGCACCTGGTCCCAGGCAATCCTGCTGTGGGAGGGGGCAGTGTTGCCCCCACCCCAAGCTCCAATCCCAGCATGCAGGGGGAGAAAGGGGCTGGTGCCTGGTCCCGGGGCCCCGATCCTGGTGCACAGCGGGCTGGGAGGGGGCAGCGTGAGTGAGAGAGCAGAGCAGCAGCTGGAGCTGCGGGCACAGGGCAGGGAACGAGCAGCCAAGTGGCAGATGGGCCAGGGAGCAGGGCGAGAGTCTGGGGGCCCAGGGCAGGTAGATTGGACACCGGGCGGGGAGCAGATAGCAGAGCAGCCAAGGGGACTGGGGACACAAGGCAGGGAGCAGAAAGCAGAGCAGCAGATTGGTTTCTGCTGCTCATCCATGTCAAAGCTGCTGCTCTGCTTTCTGCTCCCTGCCTTGTGCCCCCAGCCCCATCAGCTGCTCTGCAGGTGGAGGGGGAGCAGAAAGCAGAGTGGTGGATGGGGGCACTGGGCAGGGAGCAGAGTGGCAGATGGGCCAAGGAGCAGGAAGAGCAGCACATAGGTCTGGAGGTGCAGGGAAGGAAGCAGAAAGCCGGGCAGCAGATCAGATGGGGCAGGGAGCAGTAAATGGAGCGGAAAGGTCTCCGTGCTCCCGCCTGAGCCAGGACTGAACCCTGTCGCTGGGCGTTCGTGATTTGCCTCGGGGCTCCCGCCCCGCCGCGGGGCCCAACCCTGCGAGGGGGCAAAGTTCAGGCCGTTCCAGCGCAGCCGGAAGCTCCCAGCCGGCAGCGCCACAGGTACCAGGAGGGGCCGGGCTGGGCCGCGGGGGCTGCGCTGGGCGGGGGGTTAGCGGATAGAGCTCGGGCTATGCGCCCGCACTCCTGGCTTCTCTTCTCGGAGCGCTTGCTTGGTGTGGGCTCAGACCGGGCTCCAGGGTCCCGCACCCAGCTCTGCCTCCGCATGTGCGTGATCTCACGCCGTTCCTCGGTTTCCCTGCCGGCAGGGAGGGTTCGTGGCCCTGTGGCTAAGGGCTCAGGGGGACAAAGTGTCAATGTGCTGTAAACGGCCCCCCAGGGCCCAAGGCTGGGAGTAGCCCGGGGCAGAGAAACGAAGCTGCGAAGGAGGTTGGGGGCTGGTGCGACGCGTGAGAGCCTTGCCCGATGGGCTGAAGGTCTTGGCTTCCAAGGAGAAGACTTGGCTGGTGGGAACTTTCCCGTGGGGGATCCCAAACCTGACCCCGGTGGGGGTCGGGAGCATGAGAGGGGCGGCAGAGGGGGAGAGTCCCTGACCTTCGAGGCACTCGGGCGGGTGGGCGAAGATCTCGTGGTGCCGTCTCACGAGGTTCAATGGCTTTCCGCTGGCTTCGCTGGAAGATGCCGATCCAGCAGCCAGGGCATCTTCGTGGAGGACTCTCGCCGCGCGTGCCCGGTGCCAGGGAAACCGGCCCCTCTCCTCGTCCTTTCTAGGCCTGGGGGAGGGCAGGAGGAGCTGAGAGGGGCAGAAGGTGGGTTGAAGAGAAACGAAGCCGTTAACCCGCTGAGGGACGTACAGAAGGTAGTTCAGGGCACGGCAGAAGCCAGAGTCTCTGCTAAGCTAACACGGTGCGTGGGCCAGTCGGTCTCTGAGGTGCTCTGACCTGACGCCAGGCTTACGTGGCTGTAGACCTCGCTGGAGCATGGGTGACCGCAACCGTTGATCGGGCACTTGCAGCCACGAATCGAAGGGGGCTGCCAGACCTTGCGAGGTCCTTCCGGCCCGACTCCCCTGCTGCAGCTGGAGGCCGTGGCTCCTAGTCCCGTCCCCGGTGGCCCGGAGGATGCCCACCTCCATCCTCTCTGTCGTCGCCCCGAGACTGGGATCAAATCCCCCCTCGGTCTCCTCCAGGCTCAGTCCCCCAAGCTCTTCCAGCCTCTCCCCCTCAGTCCGCTCTCCGCTGGGCTCTTTCCAACGTGCCCACCTCCTCCTGGACGTGCGGGTCCTTGGCCTGGACCCAGGGCTCCCGCCCCAGGGCTGGGCAGAGCCAGGCGAATCTCTGCCTTTGATTTGCAAGTGACACTGTGAGCATCTCTCCTCTCTCTTCCCACCTGGAGGCGGTCGCTTTGGCTCTCCCCACCCTGACCCGGAGATGCCGGAGGTCGGTGGCCCTTGAGAGCCGCTGGCGGGGGGAGGGGGGCTCCTTCGGTTCATCACCTGGTGACCCTCCACCTCCTTGAGCTTCAAGATCCGCCAGCAAGATGGTCTCCTCTGGCCCAGGTAACTGGGGGAAGGTGCTTGCATGACGGTAATACTGTACTTTGTGGCATACAACGTGCCCACAAATAAGATACGGGGCTGGTTCTCCCTGGTTCCCCACACGTAGGGAAGAACGGCTTCAGAAAGCAGATCTGTGTGGCTTGGCTGCGAAGGCCCAGCCCATGGGGGAGGCAGGTGGCTCCATGGGGCAAGGTGTGGCGCTCCCATCCACGCCATCATTCGTGGCAGGCTGGGGTGGGGGGAGTGATGAGCCCCGTGTCTCGCCAGTGCATCCCACCCTGCCCACCACCTCCGTCGGCTGTTCTCCCAATGCGGTCTGGCCTCGGACAGAGAACTGCCATGTTTCTCGCCCCCTCTTCTTCTCTCCAGAAGGCAGCTGGTGGAAATGGAGGGCATGGCAAGCGAAGAAATACGGGAACAGCAGTTTCCACCACCCCTGCTCTAGGGAAGGGGGAGGAAAAGTGACTCTGCCGTGCCACAGGCAGCTACTCGATGACTTACTGCCACTTAACGAGTAGTTTCTTGGAAAGATCTTTTCTTGTTCTTTATTCTTCCTTTACAAACACTTCTCACACGGGGACAAGTTACATACTAGGAAATACGGTGGTGCTGACAGCCCGGGGGCCCGGCGAGGACAGGGACTTCGCTGCTGTTGTGCCCACGTGCGGCACCTAGGACACGGTGCTTTAACCCTCGCTGGGCCACCTCGTGATGCTGCTTCAACGCACCTAACGGGCAATGCCCGTACGAAGGTGGCGAGCAGTGCCCTCGTTAGGGTTCAGAGTCGACACCTCCAATGCGGCGAACTGCAGCTGCTTGCGCCTCGGAGCTCCAGCAGATCCGTGCAGGGCCGTAGGGAGGTTTTCCTTCCTGATCACGCGAGCCAGAAGCTTTGGTCTGAGCGTGGCTGTTGGAAAACCCCTGGAAGCTGCAGAGAAGGGTGTCTCCAAGGGGGCGGTGCAGCGAAGGCTGCACTTACCCCGGGGGCTGCATGGTGAAGGGGCAGAGGGGGTCCCCTGTAGGGGGTTCTGAGTCTCCCTTCCTGGGGTCACACTCCAGCATCGGTGCCCGCGCCGGGCTCCGCGAGAGGCCGAAGCAGCCAGCGAGGGGGGCAGTCAGCTGGGGGCGAATGCAGGGGGTTGGACTTGCTTGTGTTGGGGGGTGAAGGGCAAAGACTGGGGGCATCCTCTGTCCAGTTTCCTTTAGGGACTGGGTCCCCATTTGGCACTGGTGGCTGGATTCCTCCTCCTGGCTGGGGGAGGCCCCACGGTCCCCAGCCACGTGAGTCCGCGTCATCCTGGTGACGCCCACAAACGCGCTGGTGACATCGGTGCTGCTGGCTCCCTCCCTGCCAGCTGATTAAACAGGCTGTTGAACCACGGGCGGAGGCGAAGGCGAAGGGCAGTACCTCGGCCTCTGGAAGTTCACCGCCAGCGCAGGGCAAAGGGACTCGATGTCCTGCCTTCTTGCAGGGCGTGGGGCAGTGGTCCTCCAGGAAGTCAGGCTGGAAAGGACCTCCCCAGCTCACCTCTAGTCCAGCCCTCTGGCTAAACCATAGCTGGTCGGGACGGAAGGGACCCGAGCAGATCATCAAGTCCGCCCCCTGCCATGGGCAGGGAAGAGCACTGGGGTCAAACAACCCCGGCGAGGTGTTCATCCAGCCTCCTCTTAAAGCCCCCCAGGGCAGGAGCCAGCACCACTTCGCTTGGAAGTTGGTTCCAGATCGTAGCCGCCCTGACTGTGAAGCAGTGTCTTCTGATGTCTAGTCTGAATCTCCCCTCTGCCAGCTTGTGACCGGTATTTCTAGTCACTCCTGGGAGTGCTCGGGGGAACGGGGACTCCCCAATGCCTGCTGGTCCCCTCTGACTGGTTTGTAACAGGCCACCAGATCCCCCGTCGGCCTTCTCTTGTGGAGGCTGAACAGGGTCAGGTCCTGTAGCCTCTCCTCGTAGGGCCTGCCCTGCTGCCCCCTGACCATGCGGGTGGCCTCCTCTGGCCCCTCTCCATGCTGCCCACATCCCTCCTGACGTGCGGCGCCCAGACCTGGACGCAGTACTCCAGCTGCAGCCTGACCAGTGCCGCATAGATGGGGAGGATCACCTCCTTGGCCCTGCTTGAGATGCATCTGTGGATGCATGACAAGATGCGGTTGGCTTTCCTGACCGCGTCCCCCCGCTGTCGGCCCAGGTTCATTTTGGAGTCAATAGTGACTCGAAGATCCTTTTCTGCCTCTGTGTTGACAAGAAGGGAGTTCCCCAGCCTGTAGGTCTGCTGCTGGTTCCTCCTCCCCAGGTGCAGCACCTTGCACTGGTCAGTGTTGAAACCCATCCTGTTCTCATCGGCCCACCCCTGTGACCTGTCCAGGTCTAGCTTTAGCCTGTTCCTCCCTTTTGGCGTGCCCGCTTCCCCCCAGATCTTGGTGTCATCCGTGAACTTGAACCGGGTGCTTTCCACCCCCTCGTCCAAGTCGCTGATGAAGATGTTGAACAGTGCGGGTCCGAGGACCGAGCCCCGGGGGACCCCACTGCCCACAGCCCTCCAGGTCGAAAATGACCCGTGCACCACCACTCTCTGGGTGCGGCCCTCCAGTCAGGTAGTGACCCATCTGACTGTGTAGGTGTCGACACCACTGTCTCCTAGTTTCTTTATGAGAATGGGGTGAGAGCCGGTGTCGAAGGCCTTCCTGAAGTCCAGAAAGACTATATTCACTGCGACACCTGCATCCAAGGATTTTCTGACCTGGTCGTAGAAGGCCACCAGGTTGGTCTGACAGGACCTGCCTCGAATGAACCCGTGTTGGTTGCCCCTCAGCATACCCTCCCCTTCTGCCCCTCGTGGACATGCGCCAGGATAACTCTCTCAAAAAGCTTCCCCAGGACTGAGGTAAGACTGACTGGCCTATAGTTTCTGGGTCCTCCTTCTTCCCTTTTTTGAAAATGGGAACCACGTTGGCCCTTTTCCAGTCCTCCGGCACCAAACCAGAGCACCACGCGTGCTCGTAAAGCCATGCCGGGGTCCTGCAATGACCTCTGCTCATTCCCTCGGCACTCGGGGGTGGAGGTCATCAGGACCAGCTGATTTGAACACGTCCAGTCCTTCCAGAAGTTCCCTGACTAGGTCCTCACTGACCCTGGGCCTGGGTGCACCTCCCCTGGGGCCTGAGGGGGTCCCGGTGGGGGGTGACCTGGTCCCAGCTCAGGAAAATGGAGGCAAAGAAATTGTTAAATAGGTTAGCCTTGTCGTCTGGTGCGACGACCAGATTTCCAAGCATGTCCCGCAGAAGCCCCGCGTTACCCGGTACCTTCCTTTTACCTCCTATGTATTTGAAAAAGGACTTCTTGTCGTCCTTGATCCGTGTCGCTAGTCCCAGTCCCATCTCTGCCTTGGCCTTCCTGACCTGCAGCCCCGAGCACCCGAGGTGTAGTCCTCCCTGGGGATGCCCCTCCCTGCCATCGTGTGTACACCCCTTTTAGCTAGGAGACGTTCCCGGATGCTTCTGGTGAGGCATGGGGGCTTTTGCGCCCTCTTGCCCCCTTTGATCCGTGTTGGGATTACCTCCCTTTGGGCTTGGAGGATCGTCTCCTTAAGGAACAACCACTCTTCTTGGACCCCCGACTCCCCTCCCCTCCGGGACCTCAGTGCCTCCCAACTAGTGTCCTTACCTCATTGAAGTCCGCCCTCCTGAAGTCCAGGGCTGCTGCCTTGCTGCAGGCCTTTGCCACCTTGCGCTGGATGGTGAATCCAGCAGGCGATGATCACTGTCGCCCAGGTGGTCGAGCACCCGCAGACCCCGTACCAGGTCGTCGCCCGTGGCCAGGACCAGATCCAACACGGCGTCTCCCCTGGTAGGGCTGTGCACCTCCTGGGTTAGGCGGAGGTCCTGTATCTCGGCGAGGAACCTGTGTGAGCGGTCAGACCTGGCTGACTGCTCCTCCCAGCAGATGTCTGGAAAGTTTAGGTCACCCATGATGACCACGTCCTTGGACCTAAATACCTCCGTGAGCTGACGTAAGAATTCCCGGTCCAGCTCTTCCCCTTGGCTGGGTGGTCTGTAGTAGACCCCCACCGTTAAGTCCCTTTCCCCCCGGCCCCTTGTATTCTGACCCAGAGCACTTCAGCCTGCCCCTCCTCTGACCCCGTGCTGCTCGCTGAGGATATGTATTCCTCCTTGACGTAGAGCCCCACACCCCCACCTCTCCTCCCTGTCCTGTCATAGCCCTTGATATTCACCGCCCAGTCGTGCGTTGGGTCCCACCACGTTTCTGTGAGCCCCATCCCAGCCCTGGGTCTGTTCAACCTGCTCTTGGATGCCCCTTGGACCGATGGTCAACCCCGCTCCAAATCAGGACGTTCCTCCTCCTCTTCAGCCTCAGTTTCCTCTGCTGAAGTGTGAGGTTGCCGCACTGCCCTCGCAGTGGGGATAGGTGGAGGGTCGCTATCTCCAGGGACGTTTCTGGCAGGTGTCTTGCGTCTGTTTGGAGAGTCCCCGAGCTGCCGCGTGCTGGTTGAGTCGCTGTGCGTCTTTCCCTCTGCAGAGCTCCAGACCAAAGAGGAGGTGTACTGCTTCTCCCTCGCCAAGGCGCTGTACTGCGGGCCCACGCCTGTGACCGTCGGGTTCTACGCGCCATGGGGCCACTGCAAGAATTTCCTTCTGCAGAAGATCCAGAGTGAGTCCTGGCCGGGGGGACTCTATCGAGGGGTGCCGGGAAGGGAAAAGGAGGCTGTAGGGCTGCCCATCTCCCAGCTTTCCCAGGGAGGGCGGGATGCTCAGGCTGCCTCATTTGTCCCATCCCAGATTACATGCACATGGAGTCGAGGAAGAAGGACCATCAGGAAGTCCAGCGGACGGGGCAAAGCCAGCGCGGGAGCTCCGGGCGGGACTTGCTCAAGGTCCTCCTGCTCATGATCTTCTACCGCCCGGTCCTGACGGCCCAGCAGAGGCAGAGGAGGAACATCCAGCACATCTTCATCCGCTTCAGCGCCTGGGAGTATGCGGGCAGCGACCAGCTCTGGGCCGGCCTCATCACTACCCTGTGTGATGGCATCGAAGACCACTTTGGCCTCCTGCCCATGAGCTTCTACAGGGCTGTGGGCAGGAAATCTTCCATCCTCGACGCCCCCCTCGAGAAGGAATGGGTCAGTAAGAGGTACCTCTGCCTTCCTCTCTGGGCTGCAGTGATTCTCCTGATCACGGTGGCTGTGGTCGTGGGTGTCCTCATCCTCGTTCTTGGGGTCCCTGTTGGGGACATTTCTGGGGATGCGATTGTTGCAGTGGAGGGCGTCGGCGCCGCGGCAGTGGGCATCTCTGCGGCTGCGGCCATTCGGATTGCCATCCTGGTGGTGCGAAACTTGGTCGTCAACCAGAAAGCCCAGTTGGAGAGTCAGATGAACCGGACGGATCTCAGCGCCCAGCTGGGCTTCATGAGCAGCGTCAAGAGGGAAGTCCAGGTGGTCATCAGATTCCTGCGGTTCATGGAGATCTTCCAGCGGCGGAAGATCCGGGTGGTGCTGGAGATCACTAACCTGGACCGGTGCAGCCCTGACAAGGTGGTGGGTGTCCTGGACGCCATGAACATCCTCCTCTCAGACTATGATGCCCCGTTCATCTCCATCCTGGCTGTGGACTCCAAAGTGGTCGTTGACTGCGTGGAAAGCTCCACATTCATGAAGGGCATGGCCAACAACGGCTACGAGTTCTTGAACCGCGTGATCACGCTACCCTTCTCGGTGCCCAGGATGGACTGCGAGACCAAGGTGCGCCTCCTCCGGGACATCGTTGAGTGTCGTAAGGAACAAGAGAAGGACCCAGAGGACGGCACAGGGAGCCAGACAGACACCTCCTTTCCATTGGTACCTCACTATAGTTTGGCTAACCATGGTGCCGGGAACCCAAACCCAGATGAATGCCACGTGCCTCTCATGGACATAGGCCCTTCCACGCGAGGACCATCCAACGGCTGCACCAGGAAAGCCGTCACAGCCAAAGAGATCATTCGAGAAGCTTTCGACTCCCTCGTGCATGGCTCCATGAAGGAATACATGACAGAAAACATCGTGCAGATGCGCAGGATCGTGAACACCATCGCCATCACCGTCCGCCTCATCGTGCAGAAGGTCCCCAAGGATGAGGTCCGCCCAGAGATGGTGGCAGCATGGGTGCTCCTGGCCAACCAGTGGCCGTGTCGCCTGAGCTGGATCTTGCAGTGCATTGAGGACGAGGAGCAGAGGAACAACCCGGCTGGTTGCCAGGGAAATGCGCTCCCTCCCGACATGCCGCTGTGGGAGGTTTACGAGAAGTACATGGAGGAGTTTGACCTGATGAAGGGCTCGATGGAGAAGCTGCTGGAGCTGGACCGTGATCCCGAGCTCTTTCACAACTTCTTGTGTGGCCGGTTCCAGGTGAAAGATGCCAACTTCTACCTGCCGTTCACCGTCAACCTCGACCCGTCCCTGCAAAGGCAGATGGAGCTGCAGCGAGGCAGCCGCAGCCTGAAACGCACAAAGAAAGCCCGCGGCCTCTCCAGGTGCACCTTGCTGCGTATGACCGTAGAGGAGGTCTGCGAGGAGGTAGGTGATCGTTTCTCTTAGAAAGCTTCGGACCTCTGAACGACGAGCCATACGGGTGCTACGGTCCTATTGTGCAGGCTCCAAAGTACGTCCGGAGGTGGTTTTTGTTCAGGGTTTAGCCGACGTGCCTGGGATTACAACGTAAGAGTGGCCATGTACTGAGTCAGGCCCTAGGTCCGTCTTGTCCAGTCCCCTGTGTCACACGGTGGCAGAGAGCGGAGGCTGGAAGGGAAAGTGAACTGGGCCTGAGCAGGGTTTTTCCCTTCTTCCTTTCTCATTTGCAGCCTCCAGCATTTAGGGGCCAGGAAGTTCTCATTCAGAGGCCGTGCCCCTTGCTCCCTGCTCAGTAGCTCCTGATCGATAGGTATCTTGGCTGGGATAGATTCATAGAAAATGAGGGTTGAAGGGACCTCAGGAGGTCACATCTAATCCGGCCCCCTGCTCAGAGCAGGACCAGCCCAACTACATCATCCCAGCCAAGGCTTTGTGTCTTAAACACCTCCCAGGATGGAGACCCCACCACCTCTCTGGGGTGTCTGTTTCAGGGCTTTACTACCCTCCTAGTGAGAGAGTTTTTCCTAATCTCCAAACTCAACTTCCCTTGCTGCAGCCTGAGCCCATTGCTCCTTGTCCTGTCATCTGCCCCCCCTGAGACCAGCCCAGCTCCATCCTCTTTGCAGCCCCCCTGCAGGGAGGTGAAGGCTGCTATTCAATTCCCCTCGGTCTTCTCTTCTGCAGACTCAATCAGCCCATTTCCCTCAGCCACTCCTCATCGGTCCTGTCCCCCCAACCAGTTTCGCTGCCCTGTGCTGGACTCTCTCCAACTTGTCCACATCCTTTCTTTGAGCACAGGTTGGACTAGATGGTGTCCTGAGGTCCCTTCCTGCCCTCGTTTTCTATGCTTCTGTGATTTTGGAGATCTTTCAGCAAATTTCTGGCTCAGGGCACTTTTTTCTGCCCCCAATCTGCCCAATTCTGCCTCCAGAAACAAGGCACGTGTACTCTTTGGGGGCATATTGTATGCTAGGAAATACGGTGATGAATTTGACGTGTCTTATGACTTGGGGGGTGGCACTCACAGACGCGCCCTCTTCTCTTCCAGATGGCTACGCTTGGCTTTAAAGAAGGGAACCTCCAGCTCTACAAGGAGAGGGTGGAAGAGCAGCAATTGAATGGCCGGGCCCTTATCTACAGCGACAACGGTGAAATCAAAGAAGCCCTAGGCATGAGCGTTGGAGAATGGACTCTCTTCAGCATGCACTTCCTAGGAGTCCTCCCCCAGGCCAGCCCATCTGGGGTGGTTGTGTCCTCCGTCCCACAGTGCATGAGGCAGGCCGTCCAGAAGAACATTCACAGCTCCAGGGGGAGCTGGCTGTCTCTGAACCTCTCCCGAGAGGATCTGCTGGAGAGGAGATGAATCTGCACCCCAGGCAGTTGGACAGGGTGCTGGGTGGGTGGGTGGCTGCTCTCGTCTGGCTCCGGGGAGCTTTCCTTCTCATAGATTCATAGATGCTAGGGTGGGAAGGGACCTCAATAGATCATCGAGTCCGACCCCCTGCATAGGCAGGAAAGCGTGCTGGGTCTAGATGACCCCAGCTAGATGCATATCTAACCTCCTCTTGAAGCCCCCCAGGGTAGGGGAGAGCACCACCTCCCTTGGGAGCCCGTTCCAGACCTTGGCCACTCGAACTGTGAAGAAGTTCTTCCTAATGTCCAGTCTAAATCTGCTCTCTGCTAGCTTGTGGCCATTATTTCTTGTAACCCCCAGGGGCGCCTTGGTGAATAAATACTC